CCCCGCGTCCACCCACGGCGCCTCACATCCCCCCAGCCCCCGCCTGCCCCCAGCTGCATTTTTGAGTTTTAAAACCCACCATAGGCGCGGGGGTGGGTGGAGGGGGAAGACAAAAAATATGGGAAAAATAAGCCTCGTTCCCTGGACATTATTAACAGTGCAGCCTAAAATATACATTTTTGCTTTAAAGAAAAGGGAATCATTATCAAGCCATTACGCATTAAGAAATGTCATTCAGTCATTTTTATTCATTCCGCTGAAATCTTCGTAAAAGCCCGAATCATACTTCTGCAAGCAGCAATTTTGTTAATCCAGGGGGTTATTACTCTGGTCCCTTATTAGGATCTATACTGCTGCCAAGCAATCCTATAACCTTCTCAAAAGAAGTTTACCTCCGTGTTATAAAACCAGTAGTGGTATTTATACTGTGCAATAATTAGTGTATTACTTGAATCCACTAACAGGTTCATTTTATCTCCGCACAAAACCCCTAGTCTGCTTATAGAAAGCTTGTGCCTCCTTTGGTGCTGTTAAAGTGGTGAAAGAGTGAATGAAGGCTGGTAGCACTTTCTCCTTTCGCCGTGCCTTAATTCCCATCTCTTTCTGCTCTCATCCAATTAGTGCAGTGTATTAAGCGGTTTATCATCTCATAGTCAGCTATTGAGAGAAACAAGGCGAACACTTTGCAATAGAGCCTGCTCTCCTTTGACACCCTCAGGTACTTACATATTCCACTGTGCTATGAATAATAGAGGAAGAATAGAGCGCTAATTCCCTCATCAAAGAATGCCTTGTCTGCTGCTTTGCTCAACAACACCATTCTGATCAAAAGAAAAGCAATAAAGCTTAGCATAACAAAACGAAACCTACTTATTAGCTTAGTGGTTAAATTAATGCAGAGCCGCTGCTATTCAAAACCAAGGTTTGAAAACAGCCTCCAACAACCTGATAATGCTGCCTTCGGGATGAAGGAATTTTAATCTGAAATTTGAAGCTGGCACAGATGAGTTAATCTATTAAACTGCTATAAGGAGGGTGCGGGAGAACTATTCAATTAAGGCACATTTAAGGTGCTCTGCAGAAGACGGGGAAGGATGCGAAGGGGAAGATGGGCTCCGCTTCGGCGTTAGCAAAGTGCCTTTGACGGCGAAAATCGGGCTTTTGGCACAGCAACCCGCGTGTTTGCGGACGGGAATTGTTTTTCATATCACATATGTCAGCAGCGAAACCTGGCCACCGGCTCCATACATCAACACTCCTCTCCCCCAACTGCAAATGAATACAAATAAACACAAACCTTAATTTTTAACAGCGCTGGGGGAGGCAGGCGGCGGCGCGGGGAAGAGGGGGCAGGAATGAGGGACAAGAGGAGGGGAAGACGGCTCGGGCCAAATCAGCTTCAAAACCCAAATACCCCAACTCCAGTCTTTCCCAAATTATTTACAGCGCTGCATTTACCAGCTCCGTTTAATATTAAATGCCTTAAAGATGATTTTGCGTTTCCCAGCCTTTCTCTGGGGCCAAGACGAGGCACGGTGCCCAGAGCTTATTAGAGAGGAGGGTGGGTGGTAAAAAAAACCCAGTCTGCTCTTTGCCAGGACTTCAGCTCCCGTCTGACCAGCTCTGCTGAGAGGAATCAAAAATTGCCTTCATTTGGGGTAAAAGCCCTCGTTTCTGACTCCCCCCCTCCTGCCCGGCTGGTGGCTGGCCGGGGTTGCGGGAGGGCTCCAGGTTTCTGCCCCCCACTGCTCTGGCAGCCGAGCGGGGCTCCCTCGCTGGCTGCGCCGGGGGGAACAGCCCCTCGCAAGGCTACTGCTATATGCTGCTGCACCCTACACAATCATTCCACAACACTCTCATTTAATCTAAACATCCCTAAACTTGCAAATTAACAGGCTCTTCAGCTGTAATTATACAGATACATACAAGTGCCACAGGGTCAGGTTATGCCATATCTATCCATTTTATTTGTATACCTAACGTTTGGAGGAGAAGGTCACGCTTTTCACTTTCCTAAGGCATTCTACCCAGTTAATATCAGTAATATCTTCATAACCCTAATTGGGTTGGACACGGAAAATCTAAAAAAACCCGATGTGAAATTACAGGAAGCTGAGGTCTTTCAAAGAGCTGCAACATCAACATGTCATCTAGGCAGCAACACCTTCTCTCCTAGACAAGACTCCAAATAAAGTTTTTTTTTACAATAACCCAACAGAACATGTTGGGAAGGAACCATAGTATGCTGGGGTGGGACAACACCAACAAACCCAAGGACAGAGTAGGTTTGATTTCTCACACGCTGTGACTTAATGTGAGAAAAAATGAAAGGATTTACCTGCCCAAGTTGCTCAGGAAATGACTGTGTGTATAGGCACATTTGAATAGGTGTTACCCATACCAACACACAGCACCTTCTGATGCCCCTGGAGAGACAAACAAATGTCATAAAATACTCAAACACAAGCAGACACACATATCCCTTCAATGCCCAGCACATTCACGCTTATGCTCTTAGTTTTTCTTCAAGATCCCTTTGTTAATAGCTGCCCAGCCTTTAAAACAGACAGACGAGCACTTCTGTAAAACCAGGAAAAGTTTGGAGCAATACGACTTTCCATGGAGCATTTTCAACAGTCAGATGATCAAATTAAGTTATCTTTTACTAGAAAACTTTATTTTTTTCGTGCAAGTGTTAAGAAAACTTTACATTTTATACTGCTAAAGATTTAGAAGACCATTTGTATAACCTTACATTAATATATCACATTGCAAACTTAAAAGCGAACGTGAGTACAACAATATTTTGTGTACAAAAGCATGTACCCAAATTTATGCTCTTTTCTTGTCATATCTGCTTGTCATTTTATTAAAAGTAAATGAAAAATACAATTTTTTTATAAAACCTCCAACACAGTAATTATTACAGAACAGCAATAATGGTTCTCTGCTTTCCCTTTCCCCGTTACTGGTTACAATGCCATCCCAAACATATTTTCCCCTGTCAATTGCTTACTTTCACATACTCTGCATAGAAAGAAATGAAATATGTTTATGTCGCGTGTATGTACGAAACAGGTTTTGTACAAATGAATGTCTTCACATCCACATAGAAATTTCCAATATGGCAAAATACTGTGCTTAAAGACGCAGGGAAAGACTCTTAACAGTCCCTATTTTTAGCACGTCCAGGCTTCAATCCTTCATTACCTTTAATAAATTTGAAAGTGAAGTGTCCCTACCTCTGTTCAGAAGGTATTAGGACCTTTAAAGGCATTTAGGTTTAGTATTGTTTTTAATTGGTATGTTTATGATCAGGAAGAAGATAAACTGTGAAAAGGCAAAGCATTAGTGCTCCTACTGAGACCTCTACTAACCTCTCTTCCTGAGAGCACCTCTACTAAATACCCTGGAGCAAAGTCTAGGATCACTTACATTCCAGCAACTCTCACTGGGAATTATCCAATTAAAGCAGCAATTCCCCCACCCCCTTTTCCCTCATGGGTCTAAACACACAACAAAATATATTGCAAAAATCAGCTACTCCGTATTTTAATAACCCTGGCTTCTCAACAAAGAAAAGAATGGAAGATAAAACCACCTTGAATATTTCATGTCCACATGAATCACACACCCTGTTTTCATCTTCCGTTCTTCCTACTCCAAAGAGACAAGATTATTAAACATCATTGTGCCCACTGAAATAGAGTATTGCTTCAGAGATCATTACTGCTAAACAAGGTACAAGCCTGTCATCTCCCTCCATTTTTAACCAATCACTGTCTCTCATTATTGGACTCTCCCACAGATCTTCCCATACTGATGGTAAAGAGTTTGCCGAGGTTCACTTCTGAGTAGCTACTCATGGACAGACATTTGTCTACGGTGCTCTTCAGTCTTTTGTAGGCCTCAGAGACTTCCTTCCTGACTTGCTTCTTCTTCAAATAGTCTAAAAGAACAAACAAAAAAAAAAAAGAGAGGGATTAAGTGGCCACAAGAGGACAGTACTTTTGCATTCACTACTGCTGCAAGTCATGGCAATTTAAAATGAGGTGAGTGTTGTAGCTAGCACAGATGACATTTACGGCAAGCCCTTCCAGCTTCTGCTGCCTTTGCCCTGCCTCCCCATCCACAGTGTTGTCCCAGCAGCTGGTTAGAGGCCACATTGAACCTGCATGTGGTGGTGAGGCTGAAGCTCCCTCAGCCCCACCAAGGGCAGTGGCTCTTGCCAGGAGCTGCCAAGAAGCAGCACTTGCCCAGTCTCGTCGTGTACCTGGAGAGACATGGGGGTTCACTAAGTCTGAGCAGAGAAAACAAGCGATAGCAGGGTGGGCTCTGAAAGGATCTCATTTAGAATGGGCAGGTGCCTTAACTTAGTCAAGAACTATGCAGAGTCACCAGGGGTTTGAAGGAGGGAGATGTTCTGCTCAGGTTTGGCTTCAGAAGTGAAGGGAACCACGCTTCACTTCTCTCATCCCTGCTGCTGCTATTTCTGCTACTGGCACAGTCTGGGACAGACTTATCACCCATCTTGTGTGTTCTCACATGCACCTTCTGTGCAGGATGGGAACTGTGATGCCCAGCACCACAGAAGTATTGGAAAGACAAGGTCCGCAGCACAAACAGAGGAAATTATGTGCCATCGTACCCGAAAGTGGGGAGAAGATGCCTGGTATCTAAATCAGGAGACATCAGGTTCACCTGACACACCAATGAAGGGAGACATTCCCAAATGCTTGATCAGTAATACATGTGAAGAAACATCTGGAGCACAAGGCATTTACTCACTCATATGATTGTGTGTGCAAACTCATGTGCACAAGTCTGTACAAATTTCAGCAGTGAAGCCCAAACTATTCTATTTTAATTTTGTTAAATTTTATGCCATCCAAAAAAAAAAAAAAAAAAGAAATCCAGGGATTTTTTCTGGACAGCTGTCTGGCTTTTGATTTACAGAAGCTGTGGACAGCTGTCTGGCTTTTGCTTTACAGAAGCTGTGGACAAAGCCAAAAACAGCAAAATATCTGATCTCTTTTAGCAGAGGACTTAAGGACTTAGTAGTGTTGGCTTAATGGTTGGACTTGATGATCTTAAAGTTCTCTTCCAACCTAAAGGATTCTATGATTCTATGATCAATGCCAACTTGATGCAGATCAGGTGCAGTTGTGCTCCTCCTTTCCAACCAACTCCATGTTTCAGAAACAGCAGCTCCTACCCAGAAGCCTGTGTCTGCAGTTACACCTTGGAACAGGCAGCTCTCAGTAGTTTGCATTACTGAGCCCACAAGAAGGATAATATTGCAAAACAAGGTGCCCTCCCAGAGTGTTTCCCTCCCAGTAGGCTGGAGGGATTCCAGGTCAAGCAGAACTAGGAGAGCATTGGTACAGGTACTTAAAGGTCAAGCTTTCAAGCCATTTAGGTGCAGCTTTCATGAGCAAGCCAAATGATCCTTCTGTTGCTCACTAGGTTTGCCTAAAAGCTGTTGTCTCATTTCTTCCTGCCACCTTCAAAATCTTGGTACTGCTCTCCTTGTGCATTGAACATGTAACAAAGGAGCCTCCATCCCCTCTGGAATGGCTTTTACTATTGCAGCACAAGTTAAGAGGAAAAACCATTCACCTCCAAAACAGCTGAGTTTATTTAAGAGAAGGGTTTGGAGGAGAGGGACGTGTTTTTTTTTTTTTTTTTTTTTTTTTTTTTTTTTTTTTTTTTTTTTTTTTTTTTTTTTTTTTTTTTTTTTTGGTGTTTTTTTGTTTTGTTTTGTTATTTTTTGGTTTTTTTTGAGTCCATCTCTGCGAGGGAAGAAATGGCTCTCTTCCATGATGTGACTGAGATGAAGACATCCCATCAGATGCACCTTCATCTCATCAGCCAAGTCAAATACTGCTACACGATGAGATGGCAAGGAAGGGGGCCATAGTAACAGAAATAGCTGTTGCACTTTGGGGGTTTGTGAATTCCTCCTCCCTGAGGATTTATGAATATTTTCACAGAGCCTCAGATGTTTGAAGATGAGCTCAGCAGATTAACTACTGGATATGACACAAACAGTAGTGTTTTACTGAGCAATTGCCACCTGCTTAGGTTTTCTAGGTTATTCACAAAGTTCCACTGAACTCAATTGCTCTGCATGATGCTATTGAATCTTTAAAAATTAAATTAAAAATTAAATTAATGATGGTAGTTTGAGTAACTGAATACGCTGATTAAAAGCACTTTGGAAAGCACCTTTCAAGCATCTTTGTGAAGAAGGTATGTATTTCTGCTCACATATTCAGTTTTGGTTATTTATATTGTCAAATTTGGGCAGTAAGCAAACAGAGGAAGATGCCTAGTTGAAGACAATATATTCTTACTGTTACCCAAACAGTAATGACACCATGTCTATTAGTAAAATTTATATTTCATTAAACTATACCACCAATACAATAAAAACATCTATTAGAAGAATCTGTTTGTTATCAGACTGAAGTCACGAGGGCATAACACCACATTTAATGATCTTGAAATTATTTACATGTAGGGATTAATTAAACAAACCTTGACAATTGTAATAACCAGATCCATATATACGCTAAAACCACTTTTTCACAAATTCAACACTATTTCATGCATTTTCAAGATAAATGACATTGTAAGTGTGTTCACTTGCCACCGTTCACGTTAGCAAAACCATGCCTTTTATTCCAAAGAACTGTGGAAAATACCATCCTCGTAGCTCAAAACTAGGCTGAAATAGTTTAAAGCTTCCTGGAGCTGAGGAGGGACCAAGGTGAAAGGTATCAATGCGCAGGAACAGCTGGCACGTGTGAACAGAGCAGGAAGGCACATTAGCCATCAGGGTGACGATGTAAACAATAAACCAAGGCTGAAAGTAGGGAACAAAACCAGAGGCCCACGTACAGCTCCAATCCAGGCTCCAGCCGTCCCACTAAACAGAGCTCCTAGCTCCCCCCCAACATTAAATCTAAACTTCAATTATATGCAATAACCTTTCTGACAGTATGCTTCAAACATTTCTCAGATGCAATTACCCTCGTAGAGGCAAGCAGGAAAGGGTGGACTGAAAAAAATGGAGAAATATGAGGGGCCTCGTTGAAGTAATGAGGCCAATTTTAAGTTTCAATTATAAGAGAATGGGAGCCGGGAGCTTCGGGAGGAGAGGCAGGCAGCGGCTGTGCCTGCAGCACAGCCACACCATGCATTTGAATGACACAAGTGCATCTGATGACTGGGGAGAAGAGATTTAAAGAACTGTAGTAATACAGAGCAGGGGAAGATGAGAGAGGACACAGCTCCTGATGTGTTTACCTCCTTTGCTGATGGGATATTGACTTTTCCCACCAGGTTGGTTAGAAAGGGGACTATTTACGCTGCCACACAGCAGAGTAAGAATGACAACCAGCATCACTCTGTGCTCCTCTGAGTAAAAGACAACTATGACTGTCGTATATCACACAGCCAGTCAATACCTTCCAGTTACCATACCATCCAACTTAGAGATGCATATAAAAGCTCCTACTTTCTTCCTAAATGAGAATTTAATCGATAATGCACCTAAGGCCTTCTGAAAACTAAGCTATACAAACTGACTGAAATTGCCTTTCTGTAGTCAGTCACATTCCAAATAGTTCTATACCTATTATCACCCCATCCTTGTTTTAATAATACCCAAGTTCGGTGGCAAGCAATCTTTTAAGGTGACCGCTGCTGCAGAATGCATATATGGCTATACATAAAGAGATGTATTTACATACATGCAGAGCATACAAAAGATACTATCAAAACAAATACACAAATGGCAAACACCATTATTTCTTTTATTTATTTATTTTAAAAAAGGAAAATATGCTTTTGGTCATATAAAACTAAAATTCAGGTACAGTATTCTCTAAAGTTAAATAAATCACTGACTATGGTAAAGATTTTAGAATCATGTCACCAAGCAGGCAGTTAACCTGCTCCCATGCCAACATAGCAGCCCCCTTGGTCCTTTCACAAAACAGTGTCAACTTCTGGACTCCCCTGTTAAATTCAGAACCCCCATCCAAGTCCTTGTTTAGCTACCTAGGTATGTTTTGATATTATTTGAAAAAAAACCCCAAAATTTTAAAGGAGACCTGAAATCCATTTACCCCATACTGTTGTACTGATGCTGAAAGCAAGGATGGAAATATCTGGAGGTTTTCTGTTCCTGGTCACGTGTTTTCCATGTATTAGAATTTCTCTTCATTCCTATTAAAATGACACCGAATAACTTGACAGTCAGGATCAAGAACTTTTGTTCTCAGATTCCCTAAGATGTGGCTCAGTGAAAGTCTTGTGTTTTTCTCCTACTGATTGGACAACCGAACTGTGTCATATTATTAAACTCTCTCCTCCTGATTATTCTGTTGATAGCCTGCTCTTCAGAGCGAGAAGTAAAAATATATTCACATTCCTTTGTGTTTGCGCACGTATCTGCACCAGGTACGTGAGAAACAACATAGGTGCCTATGAGCACAATGCCAAAAGGTTGGTTTATCTCAGAAAGCACAAAAAAAAAGCTGTGGAGTATCATTTATGTGCAGCATCACATCTCTCTCACACTTTTATTGAAAGAGTTAAAGAACATACTAAATTAGCTACTGAATTTTTTACATCGCCTACTGGTTATTGTATTTTAATTACAGCAAGCTTAGACACACAGGCAGCAGTCTCTGTTCCAAATATCTGTGTTTCATTTATTTCTGTGCAAAGGTAGCAAACAACAGTCAGTCATAATTGGTTCTGTCAGATGTTTTACAGTCAGTCATAATTGTCTCTGTCTAGAGGTGTGTCAATTTACTGCAAGTTAAATAAATATTCTGTCTATTATGATATCAGGTTATGTAAGCCATTTTTTTAATTGCATGTGTTCCCCTTTCATAATCCTCAGCACCCCTATTTATACTGTTAACCTTAACTTTGCCATTTATGGAATGTCAATGAAAAAAGTCAACAGTAATTTAATGAACAGATGTGTAAGCCTCTAACATACTACTTTTTTTTTATTTCTAATTAAATACAATCAAATTAGGCTATCGAGTAATTAAATTATTCTGTCTTGACAGTGCACTCCGTAAATATCTATCAGCGATGTCAGTTCACTGGCCTAAAGAGGGAGATTTACTAACCTAAATCTTAAATTATTGTTTTTGTTTTTGTTTTTTTTTTTTTCTGATGAAAAGAAATCTCCCAACTTGTACCAACTTCTAAACCACACAGTCCTACAAAATAACAAAAGGTCATTGAAAACAAGGGCCACAATTGCCCTCCAGGGTCACACCGCCACCTGTTCCGGGTGCTCACATCATTGGAAGCCAAAGCAATTCTACTGTGATCACAGTCTTCCTACCACGAGAGTACACCACAGGCTTGGGACCCCACAGGTCTGTTCTCACTGAACGGAGTACATCAGTATAAACTGCTCCATGGTCACTAAGGAATCCACCCTTGTTATTTTGCAAGGCAAACCATGGCTTTTGTATAAAATAATTACCCAAAGCTTCCGCGGGCTGACAGGGACGCAGAGCTATCAAAGTGTAGAAGACACTGTGGCTCTGCTCAGGCGCCCTGCTACCTTGGCCTCAGGCGTGCGACTATAATGCTATTTACCCCTGCCCTGGTTAGGATTCGGATAAAGCGGGGGAGCTTGCCTTGCTGCAGCGAGAGGCTGGTGCTGTGGGGAAGCCGCCAACAGCACCCCGTGGTGGGGGGGGCTTGTCCACGGGCCAGCACCCCATGGGCACCGGGGGACAGCGAAGGTGCCGCCGCACGCCTCTGCCAGGTGTTCTGTGCAGAGGGGAGCATAGCGTCCTTTACTGTGTTCCAGGAAAGAAAGAGTCACCTTGAAAGTGATCAAAAAATTTATTTCAACGGGTATGAAGTGATTCTATCAGGGCTGGACTATATAGATGTTTGTATTTGTCATCTCTGAAGGAAATTGCATATACAGCCCCCTTGCTGAGGGTATAAAAGTACTGTCAACTACACTGGACAGATTTTTCTCTACCCCCAACCCCCCCCCCCCCCCTTTGGTGAGAAAAAAAAACACACATTCTGCAGGATCATTAAGCACTGTTGTATAAATAAAGTTAGAAGATCAAACGAAAGAGGGGACTAGGGTTAAATGCTGCAAGACAAGCTTAAATAAAGTTCTATGAAAAAAGCAAGACACGCTGTAATTCCAAGAACCTATTACTTCAGACAATTTACTTCAAAAAATAAAATCAGAATGGTAAATGATTACCCAAAAGCAATCATGTCATCATCACTGAAAGATGGAATAAAATA